TTATGATTTTTAAAAATAACCCATTATTTCCTTTTGTTTTTGACTGGAGCATTTAATTGCAAATAAATAAAATTGTTTCAGATTAAGTGTAGTGTAGGAAAACAGATTCTTCATACTAAAAGTTTAAATGTATGACCTTTAAGTAGAGTACTATAATGTTGAGCTGGAATTTAAAAGATGTATTTGTTACTGTTATTAATAGATTAAGTGGCATTTAAATTAGCAAGAATGCAATGTATATCAATTTTAGACAATTATATAACCATAATTGTTATTTATTACCAATATAATCAGAAGTGCTTACAATGGTAACACAATTATGTGTAATCCAAATTTAAATATTAAGTAATTAAACTTTAGCCTGAAGATGTCTGACATTACTATTTAATAATTAAGATTGTTCAGATTGTTAAATTTTTCATATTGATCTAGTCAAAATTCAAATATATAGCATTATTTGTTTATTTCTCTGAAATATGATTTTGTAATTTTTCAAATCTGTGTTTTAGACAGCTTATAATAAAATTTTAATGTTAGGTAAGTTTATAATGCTTTTGTACTTTTGTTTATAATGCTTTTTATACTTGTAATACTTGTACTACTTTGTTTATACTTGTAATACTTTTATACTTGTCCATATGTTTGTGTACTGCATTTGTTTGATATAGGGAGAAATTTGTTATAGGAAGAATTTAGAATTTCCTGTTCCATTATATACAATGGTAAAGTAGACAAAGACAAAATTGTTTGTTTGATTGTAAGTGCACTAACTTCACAAGATAGTGCAGTTTCTAATGGTACTGATAAGGAGGAAACATTTGAAGTTAGCTGTAGCTGGTTTGAGCAATTCAAGGCTTTCACAAATTTACATAGCATTTCATTAAAGGGCTAATCTCTAATTTTTTCAGTCATATTTAACCAACCTTTTTCAGGATAAACTTACAAAACAAACAACGGTTGAGTTTGAATAAAACGAAAAATTAATACATGCCAATAATAATTTAAGAGTTAGCACTATGCCTTAAAAGTTACAAAAATGCAATGTATAAACTCAAAAACAAAACACACACAAACTCAAAAATAAACAAAAATATAAATGTGTGTAAAATATTTTTGAGATACATTTTGTTTTTGAGTTTGTTCATTGTATTTTTGTAACTTATAAGGTCCGGAGCTAACATTTAAATTATTTATTCTGCAATGTTTTAAATTTTTTGTTCTATTCAAACACAATCATCGTTTATTTTGTAAGTTTATCCTGAATATCATCGGTTAAATACAGCCAAAAACATAAGAAATTAAAAAGGGTATTGTAATTTTTAAGGTTTTTTGGAGTGTTTTTCTATTCAGTATTGAATTTCTAATTTAATTTCCAATGTAATACTCTTCCTCAACTTTTTGATAATTCTACCAGATGTGCACTTTTCACTAGTGACTATGTTAAGCTTAAACAAAAATGCTCAATAAAAGAAAAAAATTGATTATGGTGCATTCTGGCTTCTCAGATTTAGCCAAAACACTAATTTCATGTTGTGGCACTTTCAAAAATGTGCACAATACATTTTTACATATTCAATAATATCACAAAGCAAAATTTCAAAAAATTGTTATTGCAAGAAAGATGTAACAAGTATAAAAAGCATTATAAACAAAAGTACAAAAGCATTATAAACTTACTTAATATTATAATTTTATTATAAGCTGTCTATAACACAGATTTGAAAAATTACAAAATCATATTTCAGAGAAATAAACAAATAATGCTATTTTATGTCATTAATATCATCCATATATATGTTAATTAAGGGCATGTTCAGGGAAGGCTAGTCTGCATAGTGCTCAATGTCACCTACTTATGAATCAGTGATTGCTAGCAATATCACATGATGTAAATAGAAATTTTACAAATTAAAAACAAAATTTTGATACAAATTACACAAACTGAAAAACAACATAAAGTGAGGCCTTGGTGTATGTTAATTTTACAATTCATTATGATTTTTAAAAATAACCCATTATTTCCTTTTGTTTTTGACTGGAGCATTTAATTGCAAATAAATAAAATTGTTTCAGATTAAGTGTAGTGTAGGAAAACAGATTCTTCATACTAAAAGTTTAAATGTATGACCTTTAAGTAGAGTACTATAATGTTGAGCTGGAATTTAAAAGATGTATTTGTTACTGTTATTAATAGATTAAGTGGCATTTAAATTAGCAAGAATGCAATGTATATCAATTTTAGACAATTATATAACCATAATTGTTATTTATTACCAATATAATCAGAAGTGCTTACAATGGTAACACAATTATGTGTAATCCAAATTTAAATATTAAGTAATTAAACTTTAGCCTGAAGATGTCTGACATTACTATTTAATAATTAAGATTGTTCAGATTGTTAAATTTTTCATATTGATCTAGTCAAAATTCAAATATATTTATAAATACTAAGCCAAACGATTGCCATAATTAATTGAGCTAATATTATGCTATAATTAATAATTAGAAACTAAGTAATGTTTATATATAT